TTTTGAGAATTATAAAGACCAAGAAAAAATATTGTAAAAGTCCTTTAGTGGGTCTTTTTGGAGCCTCCTTTATGCAAACCCTTAGCATAATTTTAAGTACCTGTAGCTGTAGAAAGCTTAACAAGTTGCCAGTTTTCTTAATACATAAAAATAAGTATTATATCAGCATGCAATTAATTCACTATATGATAAAAAGCTTTTCCAAGACTATGAATTAATTCTAAAGGAGATAAGTGTTTTAGTTTAAAACAAGAGTCACTTGGAAAAGTTTTAAAGGGGTTTTTTTTTTTCCTTATCAAAATGTAAATTCCAGAAAATAAGCTTGACAGTTATATTCAAAAATAGCAAGGTACTGTATTTGACTTGTTTCAGAAAGAATCAGAAACAGATGATGAAACATTGTAACTTTGAACTTATTTTTAGTTTGATGATGGGTGAATGCTGAGAGATTAGTTAGAAGTTGTAGCAACCAGCTATTTTTACAGGATTCCTTTATCTCATGTTCTGATAACTCATGGCATTATGTCACCTCTAGATGTTTTCACCTGCTTGAGATCATGCAGGTAGCTTCTTCACAGGCTGCCTCACATGTCCTTATGGAAGTCACATATGAGGACATCAGTTTTCATACTACACAAAGTATTTTTCTGTGCCTGATGTAGGAGTCATCTTTTGCAAGTTGATGAGTGTTCTTCCAAGAATACTGGGCTAATGTCAGTTAGAATCACAATCATTTAGGTTGGAAAAGTCCTTTAAGATCATCAAGTCCAATCTTGAACCCTACTCTACCATGTTCACCCCTAAACCATATCCCCACAACCACATCCAGGAATGCTGACTCAACCAACACCCTGAGCAGCCTGTTCCAGTGCCTGACAACCCTTTCAGAGAAAAAAAAAAAACCCAGGGTGCATTCTACCTCCTCATCAAGGTAATTGGTAAAGATGTTAAATGGAAGTGGTCCCAGCACTGAGCCCTGAGGAACTCCACTTGTGACTGGCCACCAGTTCCCAAGTTTTTAGCCAATTGAGATCCTCTCTCAGCTCTAATATTAGTCTGTTTTACAGTTTAGTACTCAGTTGGAACTTAACCAGATGAAGATACATTGCTATCAGGTGTACTTAGCACCGTTTTGTCTGACAATCTTGGAGGGTGATGACATAAGTATAGTCATAAGCCAAAAACAGGCTGAAAAGATTGGCCTTTTTGACTTACCAGGCAAACCAAGTTTGATCACATGGGGCACAATTATGCCTTCAAAAAGCAGGACTCCACAATCAGTTCACTCCAAAGGACAGGGTCCTGTACTAGCCATTATACTGGTGGCTCCAAGATTGAAGTTTTCAATCCTAAATAAGGAAGCCAAAGAAGTTGAGTTTTTCAAACATCTGTTAAGTGAGGTTCAGGGCTTGGGGTTTCTTTTATGATTTTGTCTTCCTTTTTTGTGTTATCTAGAAGAAATGCCTACTTAATCTTATAGTGTGGAAATGGGAATGCAATTGTTTGCTCATGCATTTAGGCTTCTGTATCTTTTAAGACTGTGTGAAGAAGCAGCCCAGAAAGTGTGTTACAACCTTCAATGCTGTCACATAAAATAGCGTTGCCCAGGAATCCTGGGACACCTCAAACTGTCACTGACATTTCAAAACCAAAATCATTGAAGTATGTATCAAAAATCCAAAATCATTGAAGTATATATCAAAAGCAGTCTGTTGAGGCATGGATAGGAAAAGAAAGTCACCAAGCATTTGATTCCTTTGATTCCAAGCAAAGGAGTTTAATTATGCAAATAAATTTTTTCTTTGGTCTCATGCTGTTTCAGAAAGTAGATAGTAATAGAAGTTTTGCTATAAGCTGTGCAGCCATTGTAAGATACATCATCTTAATTGAGCTTCTTGACCTGGACTTGTAACCAGAAAGAAAACAGTCTCTAGATTTCCCAGATCAGATATTTTTTTTCTCCCTACTGTGGTTTACCATTGCTCCCTGAACAGAACTAGCAGTGCAGTCTTGCTGTCTCTGAGCAGCAGAACTTCTGAGAAGTTCAGTGTCATCAGCTGTCCAGAAGAAAAGCGTGAGCAGGTTTGCCTGTGTCATCCTCAAAATGTTAATGTTTTTTAAACTGCAGAGATCACACACTGCAAGGAGTCCTCTTTAATCAGCCATAGTAGACACTGTGCTTGTGTTGTGCCTGGCTGGGGTCTGCACACAGAGGCTTGTGCTATTGTACTGTGTTTTGACTCTACTTTTAATTATGGGGTTGGTTTATTTTCTGAATCTCAGTTTCCTAGTGTTTTCTAACAGTAAAAATGGTGTACACAGTAAAGCTTTGTGGAGGTTCTTGTATCTCCTCAAAAGCTAGGCTGACTTGAATTACAATTTGCCTCAGAATTAGAGAGAGACCAAAAGAGGAATAACTTACTCCATGAACCACTTTAGTCTCAAGGTTCTGTATGTGCATTTGATGTAACTTGTACACATCCACAAAACAAGAAAAACAGTGATTTGTTAACTGTCCTTGCCATGGTTATACCATGCTGTGACTGAAAAATTGTAGATGGAGCTCCTTGATGTCACTAATGGTAATTAATAAGCAAGGAAACAGAACTATAAGTTTATTTTTAGCCTACCTTGCTTTCCTTTTAAGCTGACCTGTGCTTTTATTTTTTTAAACCTAGTTTTGATTTCACCTCTAAAAAAACCATGGAAGCTAACTCAGAAGTTTTTGTGGTTTTGTGTTGCATCCCAGGTTGAGTAGCCACTCAAACAGGTCTCTTGTTCATTTCTGGTGTGTGTCTGTTGATGGTTGGACTTGGTGACCTCAGAGGTCCTTACCAACCATGGCGATTCTGTGATCTGTGTGTTACAGCATATCTGGCATCCGTTGGGCACAAGTGCACAAAAGCCAGAAGTATTGTCCATTCATTATAAGCTTTTTATGTAAAAGAGGATATGATTTTGCTTGCCTCTTTCCAGTGTCATGCACAAAGAATGCCTGAAAGGCTTGTTTCTTGAAAATAATTTTGAACTGTGCTTTTGAAGGCCGATACACCTTCATGCCTCTCTGGTCTCTGTTCTGCCCAGAGTCCTCATGTGAAACCAAAAAATTAGAGCTTCTGTCTTAGTTCTTCTGCAAATTTATTGCATACATTTGGACAAGTTGTGTTCCTCTATCTAATATGCTAATGGGAATCAGGTACCAATACGCATAAAAATGTGCACAGTGCTGAGACACTGAAGGGGGAATAGCCAGTAAGAGGTTACTTTGTTAGGCAGCGGTTCTTACTGCCTTTGAATAAGGGGGGTTCCAGGCTTCAGTGGGGTCATATGTTGTGGGGTTTTTTGGTGTGGTGAAATCTTTTTTATTAGTTTGCCTCCATTCAGCTTTCTCACACACGCTATTTGACTTAATTTTATAGCTGTTTTTTGTAGTCTTTTCAAATCAAGACATGATACCAAATCCTTTTGTTAGGTTTTTGTCTAATGTGGTTGCTGTTCCAGACAGAGTAGATTTGGGCAAGCAGAGCAAGGTTTTAAATTTGAACAAAGCTAAAATGCAGACACTGGTGCCCATATACCTTCCTGAAATATCAGTGAGCTTACATTTACACTGTAACACATAAAAAGAAGAAACACTTTAAGAAAATATATGGGAAGAGAGGAATAAAACCCTACTTAATAAAAATGTAAACTCAGGGAAAGACTAAAAGGTATCATAAAATTATTTTGTCTGTAAATTTGTGAAAAGAAAGTCAGTGATGCAAAGACTCCTTAAATAATTTTCAAAATTTTATCTTCTTCCTTCCTGCTTTACAAGTAGGCTTGTTTCTGTAAGCAGTGTATTATATAGGAAAACTAAGAAGTTGAAGTTGACATTTTTTTCAGAAAGTGCTATTTTACTTTCCATGTATTTTCCATAGTAAAAAACTCCCTTTCCAGATTTTTCTATGTTAAAAATTTATAAGTTCTGTGTATCTCCACAACAAAGAAACTTAAAACCACAAAATCAGTATGTTTCATAAGACTAGTCAATCTTATAATTTAGATTTAGTTTACCAAATTAATAGTAATCATGTGCTCCTTGCTCTATTGTACATTCCTTCTAATTTAGACTTAACTCATTCAGTAGTGCTAACTCATTCACAGTAGGGTTAGTGAATGAACTGGTAATGGAATTTACTGAATGTGACCTAGCAGAAGAGTGTATGTTTAGGGTAAAGGAAAAGCACCTAATCAGGTAAACCAGGTTTTGTTAATCACAGGTATTCAATTAAAGCAAAAGAGTGAGCTACAGCGTTTATAAATTATGCAGTCACATCTGAAGTGTTCAAAATACATCCTGTATTTTACTGCTTCTTAGGTATTTGCAAAGAAAGATAACGTGTGCCTAATCCCAAACACCTACTCTAATGCAATATATGTAGTGTACTCTTTAAGCTGGTAATACAGAAACCTCTGAGGAGATAACACCTTAGAGACATGGCATATCTGGGTGTCCCTAGAATAACTAAAGACATAGAAGATTTTTTCATGTATTTATTTTCCATATGTATATTGAATTTCTAATGATTGTTACTTTTTTCTTTTAAAAAACTGTGTCTTTATGAAAAATGTCTTATTACTGCCCTATTAGAAGTGCACTTCCACATTGTTTTAGGGGAAAGGTGATACCTAAAAGTCTCACTTAATAGGCTATCTTTAGGTTTCCTGTGCTTTTTTTACTATAATAAAAATATATTCCTGGATATGTTGTTTTCAACATGACAAAGTTACATAAGAGAATATCCTTGTACTTAAAGAAAAATGCAATTATTTTCTATTCTGAATCTCCAGACTGCTGTTTTAGAAAATCATATCTGATTATTTGCTCAGCAGAAGATTATTGAGTTGATTTAGCTGTGATTTTACCTAACAAAGCTTCAACCGAATTCCTACTGTGGAGTCCAAAAAAAGATAGAGAGATATAAATGATACATTCAAACTGTGATTTTTGTGAACAGGGCCATCAATGCACCCCTCGGAGCTAATAGCGGAGATGAGAAACAGTGGGTTTGCACTGAAACAAAATGTACTGGGGAGAAACTTGACCGCAAATGATCCGTCACAGGTAATGATCTTTTTACTGGTAAGCTGAAAATGTCTATAAATCTAAATGTGATTGCTTGTGAATTGCTACTTAATGTTTTCAAATATGCATATCCATAGGAAAGCTGAATAGCTATACCGATAGAAAAATGTCCAAAAACTCTGTTTTCCAGTGTTGTTGCAGTGAGAATAGTGAATCATAAATTACTTCTTTTAAAACCACATATAATAAATTAAATCCCTTCTCTAGGTGAGTAGAAATCAAATTTTTCATAAAGGGGATAGTTAGGGGTTTTGCCATATAGTTCTGATGCAGTGCTAGCCTTTAGTTGAAGTTGGAGGAAGTATGCACCAGTAAGTAAGTACTGCCAGGAATGCTACATCTGAAGATTGTTTTACCTGATCGACTACATCTATTCTTTCTGGGAGTGAAAATGTTTAATTGTCCCTACTTAGACTGCAAAAGATACATTTCTAATTGAGGTGCTTTAATAAAAATGTAAAGTAAAAAATTAATGTACACTCCTTGAAAGACCCACCATAATATAAGCGTTGTTTGTACACCAGGATGGTGATTTAAACCACTAGTAAAGAGGGAATGAAGGCTCTCAGCTGGTCTTGAAATCTTGAGTAAATCAACAGTTCATTCTGTCTCCACAGATGGATGTACCTTTGCATTTAAAAAAGCTATATAAGCCAGAAAAATTTAGCATATGGGCACTGTTAAATTAATCACATTGATGGCAGTATGTTTGGTTTATGTTAGGTATAGTGGGTTTTTTTTTTTGGAAGAGCTTATTAATCTTTATTTCTTCTTTCCCCTCCTGAGTGTGGCTAAAATTAAAAACATCACCGTGGAGAACTGTAGTGTATCAGATGCACATGATTTGAAGACTTCTGGGTCTTCGAAGTAGCAATGCTTTGCTGATTGTGTTACTGTATGTAGATTATATGATTACAGTATTTGGCAGTGCTAGAACACTTTATGAACATTGAAAGACTAATAACACAACAGTGAGGTAGATGTGTTAATACCAATTTTCCTAATGACTAAACCGAGACAGAAGAGTAATTTGCTTAAATTACCCTAGGTTGGAGCAGGACTAGCATCTTACCTATTCATCCAAGCAGGATAACAATGGAGTGACTTATCCTGGGGAATCGTGGGCTCCAAAATTGTCTCATTTTTATTAACTATTTCAGAAATATTTCTTTGCCTAGCAGTAATCTTTTTTCATATGTTACTAATAACTCCTATTGTATAACCCCCACATTGTAACACCTACTCAGCTTTGAGCCAGAATGTGTGTGGGGAGGGTTGCTTTTTAGCAACTTTGCTGCTCTTTCCAGAGAGTCTTTAGCTGACTTAGTAATACAAATAGATTTGTGGCTGTGCAAAATGAAGGTACATAGAGGCATCACTTTTAATGTAGAAATCTGACAATTATATTTTTATGTATAAGAACTTAATGTCTTACCACATTTTCCTAGGAGTTTGTTGCAAGTGAAGGAGATGATGATCCAGAAGTTGAATTTTTAAAATCACTGTCAACTAAACAAAAACAGAAGCTTTTAAGGTAAGTGTGGTACTTAGTGGAGGAGACCTGTATCACCAGTAGTTCTGACTCCATGGTTGTCCCTTTAACTGTTCTATCCCATCGAAAAATTTAGCACTATGAGTACAGAAGAAAATCAGCTTAGTTTCACATGCACTTGACCACAAATGGCATTATGCGGCATCATTTTTAATCCAGTTGTTTTGTTTTAATCTGGCTGTTCTAATCTAGCTGTGATGCCTTTGCACTGAGGGAGTGGGCATTTCCAATTTAACTGGGATACTAAAATAATAGTAATTTGCTCACTGAAGATGCTGTCAGTTGCTATTTTAAAACACTGTTTTGCACTCTGTTGTCGACAGTATCTTCTTCCAGGATTCAAAACTCTGTGCTCTTGTTTACTGGTTTACAACTTGGAAAAATTTGTTATCTTCTGTGTGGCTAAACTGAACCTGACCTTGCACCCCAGAGCAGAGGCTGGCCTGGCTCCTCTCTTCCCTGAGGTCATGGTTTACAGCTTGCTGCTCCAGCAGAGGGAGCTCTGGCTTTGTAGGTCTAATAAAACGTTTATGAGATTTTCATTCTTTGCTTCTGTCCTGCTAATTTAATATATCAGGTGACTTTTTTTTTTTTCCTGTTAATGTGGAACATTATATTGAAATTACCTGAAAATATTTACAATGAAAAATATTAACTACTGCCTGGTAGTTACACCCATACAGGTGTCACTAGTTAAAATGACCTTTTAGGTTAGATGTTCTACATATGGGGAGTAGGAGGAGGGGAGAAAGGTGAATGGCTAAGCAGGTACATGAGTAGGTAGGTACATAGGGTGTTTGCATATATGATTAATCATAGAATGGTTTGGGTTGGAAGGGACCTTAAAGATCCTCTAATTCCAATCCCCCTGCATGGGCAGGGACACCTCTGACTGGACCAGGTTGCTCAAAGTCATTCTCAGAAAACAGTTGGCATATTTTATGTTGTTTTTAAGTAAGGAATGTATACTTAGTTTGGATAATTAAAACAGTGTTTAGTTTGAACTTCTGCTGGCCTAACACAATAAAATTACATTACTTTATATTTTGAAAGTTGAAGTTCAATAAATATTTGAGTCCTTTAGGTTCTACTAGTCTGAAGGGATTTTTTTTTTAATACACTGAAAGTAGCTTCACTATTCAGTCACCAATTTTTTGAGAAGCACAGAATAGAATCATTAAGGTTGGAAAAGACCTTCAAGATCATCAAGTCCAACCATCAGCCCTACACCCCATGACCACTAAACCATCTCCTGAAGCACCAGGTGTACCTGTTTTTTTAACACCTCTGGGGGATGGTGCCTCCACCACCTCCCTGGGCTGCCTGTTCCGATGATAAACACAGAAGTGAAATAACATAGCATAAACACAGAAGACAAAAGCTAGGTGAAAGCAGTCACATAGCAGTGAATGCATGTGCATGATGGCATATTGTACTTAAGGCTGGAAAATGTAAATTTCCAGTTTCCATCATTAATAGAAACTGAATGCTAATTGTGTTTTTTTCATTTTCAAAATCTCTTATAAAAATGTACAAGAAAAAGCAGGAGTGATTTTCCAAAGTCTTCAGAGCAGGCTGACAAGGGAAAAAAATAAACCACTACTGAATGTGTTTATTCCTATTTACAAGGCTAAAATTGATATATCTTACTGATCTTTTTTAAAATTAAAGAATTAAAATAATTATATTCCTCCTGTTTTTGAGGGAGCAGCTATGAGTTGCAGAAGGATTCTTACTACGGCTAGTGTCAAGTTAGCACTTTAAAAATAATACTTTGCTGAAGAGGAGAGTGACTAAACATGTTGTTATGGAAAATAGTGTATTTGCTGTGTAGGTTATCAGAAGTAGTGAACTTTAAAAGACAGTAACTTTGTAATTTAGAATATCCTGCTACATCTGATTGCACTACTCTTCTGTTTTGAAAATAAAAGGAAGTTGGATCGTCTGGAGAAGAAAAAGAAAAAGAAAGACAAAAAGAAGAAAAAGCAGCAAAAGAAAAAAAGCAAAAGTAAACACAAGAAACATAAGATGAAATCCTCTTCCTCATCCTCCAGTGAGACTTCAGTGAGCAGCAGTGATAGCGAGACTGACAGCAGAGATAAAGCAGCACAAAAGAAGATGTATTCTAAGAAAAGAAAAAAAGCCAAGTTTTCAGAGTCTAGCAGCAGCAGCAGCAGCGATTCAGAAGGAAAGGCAAAGATGAGGAAGGAAAAACTTTCTGAAGATCTCTCCAGTAGTCACGGTAACAAGGACAAAGACAGGGAGAAGTACAGACTTTCAAAGCAAGATGGTTCTGCAGAGAAAAACAAATTGAGCTCCTATGAGGTGGAAAGAAAGTCTGAAAGCAGGTACCATAGCACCGGCAGGAGAGAGACTGAAAGAAAGGAGAGGGCTAGGAGAAGCCAAAGCATGGATGAGGGGAGCAGGAGGAGCCCCTGCACAAGTCACAGCAGCTCCAGGCAAAGGCAAATAAGAAGAAGTCCAAGTCAAAGCCCTGGTGAAGAGCGGCACAGGAGAAATGAAACCAGAAGCCCCAGCACAGACATGCACAGAGAGAAGAAAAAATGTAGAGAGAGCTATGGGGACAAGTGCACTAAGGTGGAACATAGGGAAAGGAGCAGACGCAGTAGAAGCAGAAGCAGAGACAGGAAGAAAACCAGATAGCGTAGAGGACAGGTGCAAGCAAGAATCTCTCCACTTTTTGGTGAATACCTTTAACAAGGGCTCAGTTATGTATTGCTCTTCATTTTCCAGCCTCTGTAACTAGCATTTCCTGCATAAAGCCAACAGCATCATTTCTATGATGTTGGAGTATTTGTAAATTAGGTATAAATGTTATGGTATTTTTCTTACTGTATAAATATACTTGTCAGTAAATACCTCTTGTATACATGCAGACCTGATTTTAGGGTTTTAAATTATTTCAAAGCAGTATGTGATATTCTTTCTTTTGTCAGTGCTGTTTTTGTTCAAATGCAACTGTGAGGGGAAGCAGAGAATAACTTGGGAAGAGTCCTGAGATATGCTAAGAGCAAACATTTGAGATAGTTCTGGATAAAATCACTGCTTCAGATATCAGAACATTGTATTGTAGAGGGTGGGGGTTTTTTCCTACTGAAGCATTTTTCCTAAAGTTCCCTGTAAGAGATCAATTTCATGAGTTAAAACAACAGAGAGACATAGTTCACGTAAGTGTGTAGCCAACGTTTTTTGACCTCCTGCAGTGTACAGCTTGGTCAGGGCTATCTAAACATCTTGAACCCCTGTTGGTATGTGTCAGTACAATGTCAAGTTATTGTTCAATAATCTCTCAAGACATGGAAAGAGTATTTACTGCCTCAACTGTTTCAGGTATTTCATTGTTTGTGTTAGAAAGTTAATGTAAATAATCATCCCTTTGTTTTCATGAACAAACTTTCTGGGTTTTTTTAATTATTGTTGGTCATTGTGTCTGCACAGATGAACTTCATAAATAATAAAATACCTTGTTCTTTTAAAACAGTAAGAATTGCCTTCTCCAGAGTTCTGAATCACTAAAAATGCGCCAGGCACCACTTAACAAGGTTTTTATGGCAAAGGAAATGCTTCTCTGCCATTTCAAGGTGGCAGATGGAAGTGCAGTACATAGCAGACACATGAAAAAAACGTCCCTGTACTCAGTATTCTGGCAAGCACCTTGCTTACCCACCTCACTCAGGGGACAAGTGGGACTTCATTGCCAAGCTGCTTCTACTTCTTAAAACAGTCACTGAAAAGTTTTTCAATGTCACACAGAGTATAATATATGGTAGAAGTCACCTGGCTTATCTTTTTAAGTGCATTGAATGAGTTTGAAAGGGTATGTCTAAGGGACGTCACCACCTTCTTTTAAAGGCGATTGTATTAGATTGCTCCTGATGCTCTCGCTGAAGTCGCGAGGAGTTACAGGGCATGCACAGTGCAGCAGAGTCAGTCCTGACATTGATGTGCGTGTGGGAGCTCTGAAAGAACAGGGGGAGACAGCCAAAACACTTATATGAACAATCTAAACCAAATCTCTTGGAAAGAATGTATTACTCTCTCTGGAAGAGAGGACAGGCAGAGTAATCTGATAGAGGAAAAGGCATATTCAGGTAGAACATTCTCATGTTAAGTGCAGCATGAAAGCAAGAGGAATAACCAATAAGTATTGGAAGGTGCATCCTAAGAAAGGTCTCTGCTTACAGATCTGATTGTTTTGTGTGGCAGAGTAAGTTGGTCACCAGTGTCTTGCCAACTGCAGTGCAACTGACTTCTACCTGAAGAAGAAAGGACAGCTCAAGTTGTGGGCATTTTGGTGGGCTCTGCTTTTTAATTGTTGGCACGTAGTTAAGGTGTGTGCTATGTAAATAGGAAAAGAGGGGCAAATGGCATGGATTTGTTATGATGATGGCAAAACTAAACCAGAAGAATAATGAACATTTTGGATGCATCTGTCTCCAAGACTACCTGTTGAAGAGGTTTGAAACAAAACACTCATCCTTGCAACACCTTTTCTGCTTTCCGTGCAGCCCAGACATTCTTGGCCAAGGCCTGTGCAGCTGTGGAGGAAGAGGATTACTGCTCTCGGTACTTTCCTCAGGCCGGTTTGTCGCACCTGACCGGTGTGAGGCCCTTAGCGCCGGGCCAGGCAGCTGGGGGGGGGGCGGGCCTCCCCCCCCCCCTGGGCCCGCCGGACG